TTTGAACCTGAGAAAGATCTTGCGCTGTTACAACTGGGTGATCCTTGAATAGCTGTTTTGCACTTGATGGTCCTAAAACATATGAAAATTAACTTTACAGCAAATATTTTACCAAAATACTTGAATGATGTAACCATATGTTTACCTGGAGGTATAGGCAATGCTCTCCCACCCTTGGTTTGTGAAAGTCGAACTGTTCCATGTAGAGATGCTCCTTGCTTGTGATTGTTGAAGATGCAATCTGTTCCGCAACTTTACCATCATTGGCTGCCAGAGATCTTATATTCTCTCTAAACTGTGATACGGAGCATTGATGTGGCAATCCCCTACCAATTAGTGACAGACATTTTGAGCACCTTTTGTCCGAAATCTTTTCACCTTTCGTGTCAGTGTCAAGAGGGTGCTTTTCAGTCAATTTCAACCGACCAATGCCACAAATCAAGCATTCACAAGGATTTCCTCTTGTGAATGGTTTGACAATGATAGTTTCAAAGTCAAATAGAGCTGGTAATTCACCAGGATGTCCTTCATAACTTTTCCTCAGAGCAGTTTTACAAATTTCACACAGCCCTTGCGGTAATCTTACATCTTCAAAATTGATTTGTTGTCTGTAGACTTGTTGAATTTTTTCATGCAAAAACGTTGTGAGCTGTCTGTTTGTCTTTTTGAGACACAGGAGGCAAACAACTTTCCTGTTTTCATCATGATTCCTAGCTGAATTGGACATTTTTTCGTTTTTTTCTTAAGAGACTCAAAAATGCAACCTTCACAGATTTAGTTTCTTTGAAAAAGTGCCTTTTCCTGAAATTTGTCAATTTAAAATTAAAAAAATTATATTGCAAAAATCTATATTTTACCTTTGTTAGAAGTTTTTTACATTTAATAAAAGCTGTAAAAATGCAAAAAATAGAAATGCTGTCATTTCATATAAATGTGTAATATGAGAAAATTTCAAAATTGATTTTCTTTCACGGACGTAGGCAGATGATTTGAATGTTTACATTTTTGGAATCCCATGGTCATAAGCTTTCACAGGAATGTTGCGGTTTTCTCGGGTGCGGATGAGACAGTTATCGCCAATTTTTGCTAAGAGTGTATTACTTAATAACTTTTACGACCCAATTTCGCATTTTTGTAAATAGAAATTAAATTGCAATATTTTAAATTAGGAACTTTTAAAAATGAAATAAGATCATTAAATAATAACTTTGCGGTGAGACACATAAATATAATGCACCCCAGGCTAGTGCCCGGTCCGCCCATAGCTAGGGACGGCCCTGTCTCGAATGATTCTTACATTTTGTTTTAAAACTGTCTTTTAAAATAATAGTGATTATATCGTCAGTATACAAACTAAATGCATTATGTCCATTTTTTGCAATATGGAGTTATTTATATTATTATTTAGTATTATAAATTCTCTAACACTTAATATACCCCACAAAATTAATTAATCAATTATTAATGAGTTATCAAGTATTTTTATTTCAACTATTACAAAAAAACTTATTATTTTAACTATTAACTTATTCATTATCTCAAAATGATGTTTTTGGATTTAGTGCATTCCCCCTGTATACCGACGATAAATTGTTTTAAATAATTATTTTACATAATTTTAAAATAATCACCTATAAAGCCTTTCTAACGGTTAAAAGCTATCCAAAATAGGTCCGGTTGATGACGTATGTAGGTAAAAAGTGTAATATTGGGGTAGTATTGTTTTATTATTGCCTATTAACCTAACTTGCTATTGTTGTAAGCTAAATGCTCTTCCGCAGTGCTCTGGGACACTGCGGAAGAGCATTTAGCTTTCCAGATACCGTTTTCAGATACCGGTATCTGGTATCCGCTACCGGTGTCCGGTATCCAAATTATTTAAACTAGTTTTTTTTAAGTTTTTTTTCATTGTAATTGTAATTGTTATACTAAAACAAAATCAAATATATTAAAATAACAAGAACAAAGTGGCATACACAATCAACAGACAATAAACATTGAAATATTATCATAGTTTAGACAATAAATATTAAAATAAACTTAAATTTTAAATGTTTAATTTTGTTTTTCTAATTTTTTTATTGCAATTTTAAATTTATAAAAAAATTAGAAAAACAACATTAAACATTTATAATTTAAGTTTATTTTAATAATTATTATTAAAAATTATTATCTTAAACCAGACAATAAACATTAAAACTATGCATTTTTTTGCCAATCATATGTAAAAGAATATATTAAATAATAAAAGAAAATAAATTAAACATCAAAAGACTCAGAAAAATAATCCATGTCATCTTTTTCATCCAGAAGTGATGCTTTAATGTAAATAAAACCCAACTTTTCAACTGTTTCATTTGATAAACGGTTTCTTTTCTTGCTGCGAACAAACAAGAAAAAACTCATATACATTCACTGGCAGCAGAATATGTTGGTACAAAACAAAGTTTTCTTGCTACTTCAAACAATTTTGGAAACACTGATTTTTCAAATGCGCCCAAATAATGTAGAATCGACATTTCAAAAAATTCTTCTTGTTCACAGTCAGGGAGGTCGGAAAAATGGGACATGTAATTTAACAATTCATCTTTTGCCTTTTGAATTTCATCTTGATATCTGAAGAACTTCTGAATGTAGATTTTCCTCTAGAATTTTACTCTGAATGTAGATTTTCCTTTATATTGTAGAATTGCCTCTGTGTGGCAAGCTTGTCAGTCCAAATTATACAATTACTAACAGTGTTTTTTGGTGACAGAAAGATATGCAAATCTTATTGATTTAGTATGAATAAATGCCCAACGCTCATCAACTATATGCAATAACTCTAATTTATGTGCTTTATGCTCAGCAAATTGAAAGCAAAGCAATTTGCAAGACATCAGTTAAATTTCCATTATTGCGTTCAAGGAAACCAATAATACTTGAAGGAAATTTAAGAACCGATTCAACATCCTTCAAATCTCTCAAAAACTGTGCACTGCGTACACATTTCAAGAAATTATCTAATTGGATCTTTTTGATTATTTCATCATCAGCAAGCTCCATAATAACAAATTTAGCAGTAGATAAATTGATTACTGCATTATATTGTACCACTTTGTATCAACAGGTAGAATCAACCCCTTTGAGACGCGTGATGTTCTAATTTGGTTAAATGTTGCTACGACAAGTTGGTAGCGCCTAATAAAATTAATCATGCCAATAGCTTTTGACAAAATGTTATAGAAGGGCTCTAATTTACAATCATCATGTATTAGTAGATTAAATACATACTAACTTGAGAAGTATTGCGTTGCATCTGGTGGGATTTGAATGAACTTGTTTCACAAATAATTCTATTTGAAACTTGAGAGACTGAGTCAGCAGGATTCAGAGAGCCTGTGGAGACTTGTGAATTTATTAAATTTTGTGAGAGGCAAGGATTTACTGATTCACCTAATGGAGACGTTCTGGACTAAGAATCACTTGACTCACTTCTACGGGAACGCTTTGAGTTAGCCTTGACCCATAAATCCTTCTCAACTGCTGGGATTTTGGAGCAAGACCTAGACTTATGACTTGTAAATGCAATATTTTATTTATTATTTAGGTGCCCCAAGAAATTCTAACGGTCTTGTCTCCTTCCTTACCGTGACGCAAAATATATACAAAGTTCGTTTAGAACCTGGATCTCCTGCTTATAAAGCAAACGCTCTAACCACTCCGCCACGGCCGCACATAAATAGAAAAAGTTAAATAGGTGGATTAAAAATTACATTAATTTCATTAATAATATAAACTGTGAAGCCATAAATTATAGCTGTATGTATGTATTAAGGGCCATAATACATACATAGTCTTATAGTAATTAATAACTACCATATACATATTAAAATACTAAAAATAACTAATAGAATAATTACTAATACAAAGATATGTTTGTACCAAAAGTGATATGTAAAAATAAAAACCTCTTTGGCTCAATCGTACCCTTTTAATCCTCATAAATAAAAAAATTTACGTTGATTGATGATAATAATGATGATAAACAAAATAATGTTTGGTTGATGAAGCTGAACCTAGAAAAATGTAAAGTTATGCATATGGGAAGAAACAACTTACGCTCAAACTATTCACTTCAAGATACAATTAAATATTTATATTACAATTTAGAAAAATCAGATGTAGAAAAAGATCTTGGTATAAGTGTAACACTTTAGAGATTAGTAGTAGCATGCTTACGAAAGTGTTCCGTGCAGAGACGTATTTACGGGGGGCTAGGGGGGGGCTTTGGCCCCCGGGCGCCATGTTTTGACAGGGCGCCAGCTTTCAGAATGTTAGAATTTTAGAAAATTGTAAAATAGTCTATTTATATCATTTCACGAAAATTTTTATATTATTATTATGTTCAAATCATAGACCTACTTATCGACTTACTAAATATCTCTAGTTGATTTTAGAAAAATTTAGTTAGCAGAAGAAAATATCAATCAAAAGGAGATCAAATTAAACTTGCAAATTATACATAATTATGCGCCAATTATTCATCTAAAAATGTTGATTTGATACTGAAAGTCACGTGTCTAAACAAATTATTTATTTATTATAAATATTTTAATGATACGGTATGTAGCGATAGCTTAACGGTTAAGCTCATCACTCTGACGCTGGCGCTCCGAGGTCTACTCCTACGAGTGTTCTTATTTAATATACTATCTAATCTTGATATAAATAAAATTTATATTTTTTTTTGAATAAATGATTTATAATTTTTATTAATCAAATACTTGATCCTTATTTATTAATTAGTAAATAATATACTAGAAAAAAATAAATGGTGCGTTTTACCTAACATTTTCATTTTACTCTTAATTGACTTTATTAACAGAAATACTTAGGTATAGACACAGCTATTTACTTTTAAAAAATGAAATAATTCTTCAAAGATTCTCTTTACATTTTCTAAAAAAAAAAAACTCTTTAAAAATACTTTAAACTTTAAATAATCAGTTTGTTTTTTAATTTATTTTTATATAATTTGAAGTGATGAGCAGAATAAATTACGCATTAATTATATTAAATTAGCAATTTGACTTTGATCGCCTTTTTTGCTAACCATCTTGTATATACCACGTGTGCACAATATAATTTTGAATTTTTAAGATTGCTGTCAGTTTTTTTTATTGTTGGCCTAAGTATTTTGTTCTTCGGTATGTTGTCTGCTTAATCCCTTGTATTACAGTATACAGTCTTGAAAAAGGTAAATATTCGTATTTCGATTATTGTTTTTAGTTTTAGTATTAACATTATTGTTATCATATATATATGATAACAATATATATATAATACACACTTTTTAGGATTCTTATTTTAAAAAGCAATGATGATTCATAGTAAAAAGCTTAGTGGCGCAGAAAACCGAAAACGAACCCATGCAAAAAATGAAGCTCAAGCAAAAATACTTTTAAAGACTGCTAAGTTAGAAACATATTTTAGCTTTACAGATAAACAGCTTCACACATCGCCGGGTAAGTTTATTTAGCTAGAAAACCATACGTTTTATTAATTTTGCTTTCTAGCAAATATATATACATATAGGTACATATTGTTCTGTTATTTATTGTTTATACTTTATATTGTTATGTTATTTATTATTAAATGTAAATAATTTATATCTAAAATGTAGATATGTGTAGTAATCGTTATTTATGCTTTCAGTTGAAAATGTAAATAATACAAGCGATGAAAATGATCACAGCTTTATTGTTAATGAGAATAACCTATCAAATCCAGACGATTTAATATTAATATTATCAAGTAAGAGCTGTACTGAAACTAGTAAAACTCTATTGACTCCAGAATCCAAAGAACTAAATGAAACACCCTGTTTGTCCATGCATGAACATAACAAGCCCGAATGTTTATTGTAAAATCTTTATTTAAAATTTGATATAATTTATAAATAATATCTTTTGGTACATGCATGTTATACAAAATTTATTATATTTTTCTCTATAGAAACCAAAATGATCACAGATTCACTGTTAATAAAGATAATCTAACAAATCCAGACAATCTTATATTACTAAATAACAGCAGCACAGAAACGAGTAAAACTCTATTGTCTACAGAATCGGAAGAAATAAATGATACACCACGTTTGCCAATGGTTGAACATAACAGTCTTCCTAAACAAAGTATTGTTCCTGAGTAAGCTTTTTTTAATTTTTTTCATGGTAGGTTACAATTATAAACATGTACAAAGGTAGACTATTTTTTTAAGTCGCTTGTCATGTAAAATTATGCTGGAAATTAAATTATTAACAAATATAGTACACTCTGTACATTTTAAACGATACCTATATCCTCTAGTTATATTATATTATGCATTTATCTCTATTACCTAATGCTTGAATGTTTTTTTTATACAATTTGTTATAAACTTTGAATAATATTTTTTGGTTTTTGTATATTAAACAAATATATTTTCCCTTTAGAAATGATCCTGCCAATTGGATAAAAAATCAAGAAACGATAGATTATTTATCAATCAATGGATTTAACCAAAATTTAGAGAACAATAATTTCCAAAAGTCAAAAAGAATTTGCACTCAAATAATTGGTGGGGTAAGACCTACTCGTTTTCGATATATGTCAAAAAGTATATTTATATCTACTCTTGTTAATGGTGAAAAAATTAACCGAACATTTTTGATTTACTCAGAAAGTAAAGGATCAATATTTTGTGCTCCCTGCTATTTATTTGGTGGCACTACATCGTTTGCCACAGTTGGTTTTTCAGATTGGAAAAAAGGAGAAGAAAAAATCAAGCGTCATGAAAATTCACAACACCACAAATTGTGTGTAATGAATATGAAAGAAAGAAAAGAAGTATTAAATCGAGTTGATCAAAAGCTAAAGTATTAAGTAGAAACAGAAATAAATTATTGGAAAAATGTATTGACAAGAGTTGTAGCTGTTGTGAAATCCCTTTCTTCTCGTGGAATGTCTTTTAGAGGTGATGATGACCGTTTTGGATCTGTTCATAATGAGAACTTTATGATGAGCTTAGAGCTTATTGCTCAGTTTGATTCTTTTTTAGCACAACACATTGAGAAGTTTGGAAATAAAGGAAAAGGTTCAACATCATACCTATCATTTAATATATATGAGCAGTTCATAAGTATAATGGCAGATAATGTTATTCAACAAATGATGAAAGAAATAAAGGAAGCTAAATACTTTTCCATCAGTATTGATTCTACTCCTGACATTAGCCATGTAGATCAACTGTCATTCATTTTTCGGTATGTTCAAAAGAATGGCTGTCCGGTAGAAAAATTTTTAGGGTTTTTACCTAATTCTGGTCATAAATCTGAAGAATTAGCAGATGCTGTATTTTTAGTTTTAGAATCGCATGGATTAGATATTAATAATTGTCGTGGTCAAAGTTACGACAATGCGTCTAATATGTCTGGTAGATACACAGGACTTCAAGCTCGCATTAAAAAAGTTAATCCTTTAGCAACATTTGTACCATGCTCGGCACACTCTTTAAATCTTGTTGGTGAGTGCGCTGTGGACTGTTGTATTTATGCTTCTGAATTTTTTATTCTGCTTCAAAATATTTATAAATTTTTCAGTGCCTCTACTTATAGATGGGAAATACTTCAGAAGAATTTGATTAAAACAGAAAATGTATCTCTTAAAAAACTATCAGATACCAGATGGTCAGCAAGATCTGATGCAAGTATTAGTTTAAACAAAAATTGGATTGAAATAATTAATGCACTGTCTTTTATCAAAGATGAAAAAACAGAAAAATCTATTACAAGATCAGAAGCTAACGGGCTATATTTAAAACTGGATAGTCTTGAAACAGCTATAATGGCCACATTATGGGGCGATATACTAGAGAGATTCAACAAAACTAGCAAACAATTGCAGTCAGTTGAGATTGATTTAGAAACAGTTGTAAGTTTATACGAATCTTTAATTCGATATGTATTAGATTTAAGGAGTATGTTTGATATCTATGAAGAGAGAGCAATAAATAAGTCAGGACACAAAACATATCGAAAAATACGCAAAAGAAAAAGAAAACTAACTGCAGATGAAAAAAGAGAAGAAGAAACAAATTTTAAAATTCGAGACTCTTTAAGAATTAATACATATTATGCTATAATTGATAAACTTCATTCTGAACTAGAAAGAAGAAAATTGTGCTATGATGAAGCCAATAAAAAATTTAACTTTTTATTTCAAATAATAAAACTTTCGCCATCAGAAGTTTACAAAAAAGCAGAGGTACTTCAAAATGTATATAAAAATGATCTTTCGTCTTCATTTGCTAACAAGTGTATACAATTCAGAAGTTATTTAATGAGTTTAACTGAAAACTTAAGACCTAAAACTATAATAGATGTTTATAAAATGATCAGAACTGAAAAACTTCAAGAGCTGTTTCCTTATGTAGATATAGCATTAAGAATATATCTATGCTGCCCAACGTCCAATTGTTCAGCCGAGAGATCATTTTCAGCATTAAAGAGGGTTAAATCTTATTTGAGGTCGCGAATGACAAGTGATCGTCTTAATAGATTAGCAATTCTATCTATAGAATCTGTACTTACAATAGATATGAACTTTAATGACATTATAAATACATTTGCAAAACAAAACTCACATAGAAAATTATAATTTTCTATAGTGATTAATATAACTTAATATATGTTGGTATAGAAAATGTTTTTTTTTTTAATGATCACCCCATATCAAAGTTGACATTATTCTTAAAAAAGGGCGCTTAAAGGAACAGTGCCCCAGGGCGCCAAAAATTCAAATACGTCTC